CATCCTGTCAATGCAGGTGCGGGTTGGTTGGTTTGTTGATTTGTTTGTTGTTTAACGCCACACTCGTTTCAGCTATATGACGGCGGTCTGTAAATAATAGAGTCTGGACCAGACAATCCAGTGACTATCGATCCACGCAATTGGGATCGATGACATGCAGCAACCTAGTCAGCGAGCCTGACCACCCGATCCCCGTTAGTCGACTCTTACGACAAGGCGATTTGTTTTGAGGGCCCACAGGTCTGAGGGCAAGCTGGTCCAGTCCACTGGACCCAGGCGCTGACAAGGCCGTCAACTGAAGACAATTTAAGAATGACGTTCATAATGTTAATGTTGTCATGGAAGAAATGCGCGTTACATTACATCGTTTAAATAATATCTTCTGTTTAGTTACATTTATTTGTTTGTTTGTTTAACTCCTCATTCAGCAATATTCCAGCTATTATAATATAAGACAGCAGTCAATCAATCAATCAGTTTATTCGGTAATAAGGCCTCAGGCCCACGTACATATATATACAAATTAGTTTCACATTAAGTTGCTGCATGAAATAATATATACAGGTAAGAAGAACGAAGAAAGATAGCATTTTTAACATAATTGGCTAAGTTCTCAAGGCGGTTTACATCAGAAGAGTTTAACATTCTAACCAGTATGTCTTTACGATTAATGAATTTCATTTTCAACTGCCCTTAACTTGCACAATGGACAAAACCGGAGTGTCTTATCGATGCCATCACTCCTTCCTGTGTTATGCATAATTCCCATTTCTCCAATATGTAAAAGGGTAAGCATACGTCGCTTTTCTTTTGATAATACATTTAATAGATACGGTTCAAGTGATAATGATGTCTTAAATAATGAATACAGTTCTAATTTCGAGCATCCAGACAATTCAGAATACCATGTTTGTGCATAACAGCCCTTAACCCTCAGTATAAACTCACTTATAAAATATTCAGGATCACCAGCACCTTGAAATTCCCACACATATCCGAAGCCATGAGAATATAACATATTCTTAATAGCCGAAACGCATGCATTCCTACCAACGGCATCAAACCTAACTAACATATCGTAAACCCGTTTTGGAAATCTCTCTTGAGACATATTAAGAAGCTGAAACCAGTATCTTAAACATCTTTTTTAAGAATCAATATAAATACCATATCGACCACACTCTCCGAGCACTGCAACATTTGTAGATTTGGAACCGATACCCAAAACAAATTTACAAAACTTTGCTTGGAAACGTTCGAGAAACAACCATTTATGAACCCCCCAAATCTCTGAACCATATAAAATAATAGGTTTAATCTGAGAGTCTAACATTTTAAACAACACTTTGGGAGCGATATTTCGAAGTTTATAACTAAGCTGTTTTATAGGAATTAAAGCTTTACTTGCTTTCAAAACTAATGTCTGAACTGTTTTCGACCAACACAGCCTGTTTGAAATTATCATACCCGAATAACTGTAATATGTAGAAACCTTGACAGGCATACGCCCCAGTTTCCATTTCTCGTAGTTCCTTAACTTACCACCATTACGAAAAACTAAGATATCAGTTTTATCCATGTTAACTTTTAGACCCCATTTGTTACAAAATTTGTGTAAAACATCAATCTTCTTCTGTAGTTTAAGAACTGAATCTGCAAAAATACACAAGTCATCCGCATGTAAGAGAAGAACCAATTCCAGTAAATCCTCGTGTACAAATATCCCTCTACCACCACACTGCTGGATGTCCTCTTCCAACTGGTTTATGAATAACGAAAACAAAAGATGACTTAAAACGCACCCTTGTCGCACACCACTGAGACTGTTAAAATAATCTGAGATGCGACTCTTAGAAATTTTAACACAAGCGAGAGTTTTAGAATAAATGTCCTGTATGATAGTAAATAGTTTCCCATGAATTCCTTTTGAATGCAGAACAAACCAAAGAAGATCCCTGTTAATAGAATCGAAAGCTTTCTGAAAGTCTATGAACATACAATAAAATCTTCCTTTTGACTGCAATATTTCTGCACTAATGATTGAAGAATAAACATGTTATCCACTGTGGAATATCCTTTTACAGCGGTCTGTAAATAATGGAGTCTGGACCAGGCAATCCAGTGATTGACATCATGAGCATCGATCCACGCAATTGGGACCGATGACATGCATCAACCAAGTCAGCGAGCCTGACCACCCGATCGCCTCTTACGACAAGCAAAGTCGCCTATTACGGCAAGAATGGATTGCTGAAGACCATTTGTACTTAAGTAGCAGCTCTTACGATGCGTGTTAAACATTTCAAAATACACCCTCAGAATAGTGAATACAGTATAACTGTTTTTATGAATGGAAAATAGTTTCGCGAGTCACTCTTTGCTTTGGACCAAACAGCTACGCTACTTCCTTATTGAAATCAAGAAAAGAGTACAGTTATCAAATGACAACATAAATGCCTCATTTTCAGATTATCGTGGTGATTCTGGTGTGAATTAGGCCCCCAGCAATGTGTGCTGGTCGTTATAGGACTGCGTGTCTTCTTACCCCCACCGCGTGTATCAATCAATTGATTGTCTGATCCAGCCTCAGTGAATCATAAGGCAAAAACAGTATGTACTTTTGAGTGCATTTGATGAAATGGATTAACTTAAAGCCCAAAATACACTGTTAAATTTCATATGGCGCCAACTGGCATGTTTCACTTTGGATATAATGACATGCTCTTTCAGATGTGCCAGACGGAATGTTGATGCTTTGGAGGAAGTAAATGAAAACTCATCAGATTCATGTCAAGTCAAAAGAAGTTTTACTACGCAACCCCTCTCCATATTAGGAAGCAAAGGTCAGATTATGTGATAAGCGGTTACCGTCATGTTAAAGATAATTGCACTAATTTAGAAACGTGCATGTGTGTGTGTGTGTGTGTGTGTGTGTGTGTGTGTGTGCCTCCGGACAGAGGCTCCATGTACTACACCACGGAGGCTGTCACTTTAAAACACATAACAAACCTATGCAATAGTGTGCAAAACTATTTTAATCACAAATGTGGCAACACTATAGGTTGACATGTCAAGGCGAAGTACACATACAGTATTTCACTAAATGAGAAATTATCCAATGGCTCCACTTTTCAAAACCATTGAGCTCGTCGAAGTATATATATACAGTTTTTCACTTCATGAGAAATTATCAAATGGCTAAACATTACAAAACTATTGAGCGCGTCAAAAGGTCAAAGGTTGCAGTCAACTGAAACACAAGTTTAAGAATGTTAATTCAAAATTAAAACAACATAAGATATGTATCAATGTAGTAATTATCGCTCTGTGACATACTAAGTACATATACAGTATTTCACTAATTGAAAAAGACCCGTGCTAGAATCCATGCTTTCCGTAAAAGGCTACTTTGCTTGTCATAAAAGGCAACTAACGGGATCGGGTGGTGAGGCACCCTGACTGGGTTGATGCATCGCATCCTATCCCGATTGCGTAGATCGATGCTCATGTCTCGACCATTTACAGACCGCCATCATAGACTGGAATATTGCTGAGTGCGGCGTTAAACAACAAACAAACAAACAAAAAACTAATTAGGTAATTATCCAATGGCTGAGGATCACAAAAACCATTGAACTCGTCAAAAGGTCAAATGATGCAATCAACTTAAACACAAGTTTAGGAATGTTAATTCAAAGTTGTCACAATATAAGACATATAGAGCTTTAGTAATTACCGCCGCGTGACATACTAGGCAAACAACAATATACATATTTTACCTGTTCAGGTTTGTATATTAGACATGACAGCAAAAGTACTTTTCAGCTGCCTCGATTTACCGGTTGTCCAATGTTGAAAATTACATGCAGGCAACAATGAGTCATTCGATCGTCATTGACTAGGATATATACTTGTATAAATACCTACTTTGCCCTTCTGTTTCAAGAGGGGCAAAGTTTTGATTTTACAAATAGCGACAAGGTACTGTTGCTCACCAGGTACAATCAAAGAGAGCCAATTCTTATTATGATATCAATATAATCTTACATCAGTGTTATGGAAACAATCATTCATGGAAAGTATCACCGCATTTGGTAAAGCTTAAGGATTCTTACGTGTTCTTAGATTTCAATTGCCTGACCACATGTGAATCCCACCATGGTGCTTGACATTCTCCTAACGTGTTAGCTTGATCCCTTCAGGCAGTACAGAAGATAGGTGTGAGCCCACTGACGGACAACGCACCATGCCATAAGCACACTTTGATCTCTGATCCTGGTGAGCTATCAATTTATAAATGTCAGTTCTAGGATTAGACATTACTATCTCTGTTAACTAAATACGCAGATACGTACCGTTCGTATCATACGTCACGTGACGAAAAAAATAAACAATGTGTTTATTTCATTTTATACGAAATTAGTGAGCACATTCATAAACAATACTAAGGCACAGTAAATATAAAACGTCAACGCCTGAGAAAAACCCACCGAAACAGAATATATTGGCGTAAAAAGCAAAATAGTGGTGAAAATTATATGAATGTATTACTGAAAATCAATGATGACACCAGTGTTCGCGAAAAAGGGTAAGCATGTCATTCCGTACCAGCAGATACCCGTGAAGATCCGGGGTAGAAAATGTCTTCAGCAACCCATGCTTGCTGTAAAAGGCGACTATGCTTGTCGAAAAAGGGGACTAAGGCGACCGGGTGGTCAGGCTCGCTGGCTTTGTCGATGCATGTCATCGATCCCAATTGTGTGGATCGATGCTCATGATATCAATCACTAGATTGTCTGGTCCAGACTTGATTATTTACAGACCGCCGTCATATAATAGCTGGAATAATGCGGAGTGCGGCGTTAAACAACGAACCAGCCAAACCAATCATATCAAGTACCATAAGCTCTGTTGTTAGTAATAGACACTAACAAAGTGTCATTTCATATTATGTGGGAATTCATACTTCCACAAATAGCTGGGATAATGCTGAGTGCGGCGTCAAACAACAAACAAAAAACTTCCACAGTCTGACTATTCCCTGCCAAACCCCTTACGACCATGGCAAGTGTGACATAGAGTCATGCTTGTTCACATCAGAGGTGACAAAAAGTCACCATAATTCCTGATGGCAAGGACACGTGAAGATCAAGGGTAGAATATGTCTTCAGCAATCCATGCTTGTCGTAAGAGGCGACGAACGGGATCGGGTGTCATCGATCCCAATTGCGTGATTCGATGCTCATGATATCAATTACTGGATTGTCTGGTCCAGACTCGATTGTTTACAGACCGCCGTCATATAGCTGGAATATTGCTGAGTGCGGCGTAAAACAACAAACAAACCAATCACGATGGCAAGAGCGATCCTGGATCTCTTTCAAAATTTTCTTCTCTTACCAGGGCATTGTCGAACATATTGCTGAAATTTTAGAAACATATTCTTAACACAACATATTTCAAGGATGAAATCATGTGGGCAGGTAAATACGCTTAATATTTGCTTTTTAGATACTGAAACAAAGAATGTGGAACCAGTGATCAAAAGGATCTTAAGCACAATTGCGGATAAATTCATGGTAAATGCTAGAGCTCTGAACGCGGCTTGGTGGAACCTCATACGTAGCTGTACTACTCAAGTAGCAGTCAGACGACAGATATTGGATATCTGCTGTAATACACAGGAAACCTGTTTCTGCAAAGCATGCAGACATACATGCCTCTATCGTTGTGACGTTCTTGATGATCCTGTTGTTGTATCCCATCAAGGCCATATTTCTGAATGTTGTGAAATCCGAACCATATGTAGCACACCCTGAAAGGAAATGTATTCTGAAAACAATGTCTGCAATTTTTATCATCTTTTTTTGACCAAACTTGACACCAGTGAAACTCTGAAACGTCTCGTGGTGACTATTTTATATATACTGAACAACAAAAGTTCCTGTGACATTGATTAAGATTTAATGCAAAGTTATGTTTTTTACCAAATCTGAAACAATTTCGGTTTGCAACAGATAAAAGACTCCTGTAAGTGTTCAAATGGTTTAATTTGCCATACTGACTTCAGAAAATTCGTGATTTTATAAAAAAACACATGAACATGCCAAAATGTCAATTTACAAATCAATAGCGTGTGTGTCCACCTCTGGTTGCGATGCAAGCAACACATCTTCGTCTCATGAATGGACCAGGCGTCGCACAAAGTTCTGTGGGATATCTGTCCGTATCTGCTGGAGCATGTTTCGAAGTTCCTGGAGTGTCTGTGGAACACGTGGTTGACGTCGAAGGCGAGATCAGGGTAGTGAGCCGGCCAGGGGATGATATTCCCGTTGTTTTGTTGAAGAGAATCCTGAACAAGTCAAGCAATATGAGGCCGGGCGTTGTCATGTTGAAAGGTAATGCCTGGGCCATGACGACGCAAAAACGGTAGAACAACAGGGCCGATGATCTCGTCGCGGTAGCGCTGTCCATTGAGATTTTCCTCCACCACTATCAAACGGGTCCTCTGTCTTGCTGTAATCCCACCTCATACCATAACGCTGCCGCCCCCAAACCGATCTTCTACCATGACGCATTAGACCGCCTCCGTGGTCTAGTGGTAGAGCGTCCGCCCGGAGAACAAGGACTGGTCGGCTCGGAGTCAGTATACTGTGTCTGAGTGGGATATTCATGTTAAACTGTGGCATGGTATCTCAGGGAGCTAGCACTATAAATCAGCATCAGTCCGGACTAGTACAAGCAGCCACACAAACACACACACGTACATGCACGTCGCAATATAAGTGCAATAATCTTGGACGCGACGTTAAACCCCATTTCACCTCACCTCCATGACGCATTGATTGACGTAACGTTCACCTCGACGTCGGTACACTCGAATCCGTCCATCTCTGACTGCATTCGTCTGTTGCCAACGTTGCCATAAACACCAAATGGTGTTTCTGTGGACGTTAAATTGTTTTGCAACATCACGTTGACTCGATCCTGCTTCAAGCATAGCAATGGCTCGCAGACGCTCATTTTCGGACAGGCGTGGCATGTCGTAATGTTGAATAATTGCGTTAGTTTGTTGTTTTTCTGAGTGGTTGTTGTCAGCACGATGCTAAACAATACATATGGAATCCCGTTAACGCACATGTTATTATACCCATTCTTGGGTAGTAAAATGCATGGGGTTTGGAAAAAAATCAACTTTTGCATGGAATGCATGCTTTTCTGTAGCAGTTGCGTTTTTGTGACTTGATTCAAAACAAGTACTACAATATTGAAAACCAAACTTTACTAAAATACACTAAAATATTGGTGTCACAGGAACTTTTGTTGTTGAGTATATTTCCATCGCTATCGTAAAAGGTTCAGGACAGATTGTCAAAAATTAAAGCAAATGCCATCTGCAGTTTACTGAGAAAACAATATGTGAACTCTCGGACTTCTCGTTGATAACATCTTTGGGAAATTTAAGGATGATGTTTAGGAAAGAAGTCTTCTCACCTTTCCGATCTGCTATTTGCCCTTTGTTGAACGATATCAGATCACCTTTATACCTCAAGCTTACGTTAAACTTCTTGGCCATATTCACGTGTTTTGGTACAAGGATCAAGGAATGCAATTTCCTTAAGATTGTTATTTTGGATAATTTCTTGACAGAATTTAACTTTGTTCTTTTCTGAGATTTTATAAATTCAAGTGAGCATATCATTTGGTTTTTAGACTCTTGAAGGCTCGGGGTAGAATAGATCTTCAGCAACGTTTTATCCCATGCTTGCTGTAAACTGCGGCTATGCTTGTCATAAGAGGCGACTAACGGGATCGGGTGGTCAGGCTTGCTAACTTGGTTGATGCATGTCATCGTCTCCCAATTGCCCAGATCGATGTGCATGACGCTAGTCACTGGATTGTCTGGCCCAGACTCGATTACTTACAGACCGCCGTCATATAGCTGGAATATTGCGGAGTGCAGGGTTAAACAACAACCAAACAAACAAACATCTTTCGGTTTTGAGAGTCCATATGGTATTTATTCTACTGTTATCAAATACTTTCCAAGAATATAAAGAAAGGCCTTCCATGTTTTGAGTACAATGGTATATCTTTTAGACACGGATTAGGTGGCACTTTTGCTGAGCCTTGCAACATTTCTCCTTTTGAATAAGATTTTATGGAGACCCACGTTCAGGTGTCACCAAGGAAACACAATAAGTAATAACACTATCCAGGTACCTCACCTGGATAGGTGTTCAACAGTTTAATACGTCTGCAAAAGACACCCATAATCTTGAGAACAAATAACAATGACATCTTATATGATTTAAACAAGAAAAGATACACTTTCAGGAAAAGATTACACACCCAAATATAAAATATTTTGAAATTTGTTTTTATCAATGTTATGTGCCATTATGAGCTACATAAGCACATGCTCACGATATAATTGGTTGGTTGGTTGGTTGTTTAACGCCGCACTCAGCAATATTCCAGCTATATGACGGCGGTCTGTAATATAGTCGAGTCTGAACCAGACAACCCAGTGATCAATGTCATGAGCATCGATCCACGCAGTTGGGATCGATGACATGTATCAACCAAGTCAGCGAGCCTGACCACCCGACCCCGTTAGTCGCCTTTTCCGGCAAGCATGGGTTGCTGAAGACCTATTCTACCCCGGAATTTAGTAGGAATTGTACGATGATTATGGAGAGGATATTCTCGCTCATTTCTATTGAGTCTTGCTTACAGCAGTGTACAAATATACGCATTTTTTAGTCTCATTTATTAATATCTCTAAGATCAATATTGCACGCGAATGCTTTGTTCACATTTACCTCCAGGATAGAGTTTTTGATACTTTTGATTGTTAAGTTGAGTCAAAGTTAAGTGTCACGTTGAGTCATTAAGACGGTTATGACATTTAGGTGAAATATTGTTTGGCTTGATTTCGGGGAGCCATACCATAATAAATACATTACAACTAAGGAGCGCAAGAAGAATGCCTTCTACTGATACTTGAGAAGGATATTTATTGTTTCAATACATGTTTCACAATTAGAACTCAACTTACCTTGGACACAGCTGCCGCTTGAGTACTGGTGCATAATGTCACACACACACCATCCATCATTACAAGTCGTATTTACACCAGTGCAGTCAGCAGAGCCGTTGCAGGAACCGAAATGTACTGCAAATACAAAAATTGATTATGGAGAGGATTTGGACTTTGTCAAACTGAATTTGAGGACTATGGTCAAAGCACACGAATGAGACCATGGTCTCAGACCACCAGCAAATATTCCCAAACCAACAAATTAAGTTTGACAAAGTGCGAATCCTCTCAACCAAACACCAACACTAAAAGTAAATTCCTAAAAGCTACAGAAATCCGTCATCACAAAGCTTTGATAACACTGATGTTTTAACGGTTTTACATCTCGTTTGCCTTTAAAGAGCTAAACAAGCAATACACTTTTGTAACTAGTGTCATTCAGTTTGTCACAACTTTTTAATCCTATTTATCCTTATTCTCGCTGTACACGTGATGATCCGGGAAAGAATAGGTCTTCAGCAACCTCTGCTTGCCATAAAAGGTGACTATGCTTGTCGTAAAAGGCGACTAACGGGATATCATGTCATCGATCCCAATTGCATGGATCGATGCTCATGATATCAATCACTGAATTGTCTGGTCCAGACTCGATTATTTTCAGACCGCCGTCATATAATCTGGAATATAGCTGAGTGCGGCGTTAAACAATAAACCAACCAACCAACCTGGCTTCATTATCTGTGTGTTATTTGTAATTCTTACTGTATCTATGTGTGCTGTTATTTTCTACTACCCGTTATTGTTTATGTTAATCTGCTCATCACAACGTATTAATATGCATAGACCTCTCTTCACTTGGTCTGGGAAGGTACGTAAGTCCGGTATCATTCAACCTATCATTTCATTTCTCTGTGATTTTAATCGTAGTATTTTTGTTGATTTTAACTCTTGGGCTAATCTTTCTGATCATCGCCAGTGGCCAGAGGGATGGTGTAAATCCTGCTTGGGCTCCATGTAGGTAGCAGAAGTACCGTAAGTCCCCATGGTCCCTAGTATGGTGGCCTAACTTTGGTTGCTGGCGATCTACAGCCCGTTTTTTATATTGTGTTGTCTGTCATAATGTGATTATTTTATAATTCTATAACTAGTTTTACAATTATAATCTGTGATATTTTGCTAGTTGTTGTACAGGTCTTAATATATTATATAAATACATAACTTGCTCAAGTCGCGATATGGCTGAAATAATGCCGATGTGACTTTAAATTTTAACTCACTCACTCACTCTTCACTTGGTTGCAGTCACTCAAGATTGATAACAGTGTAAGAATCTGCATCGAATTGTCGCTATACGCAATAAACCAGAAGTTGTTGTCCATAAATTTTGGTGTTTTTTCTTATTTCCTCACCAACTTCCTCACCCTATCGAATATGTTTTGGTGAATAATCCAGACTGGTTATTCTCTAGTGTTCACGTTTTATATATACATTTCAACGAAAGGATTTGTTGCATTATAATGTGCATTCTATTTGAAACAACGTAGAACAATACATAAGTTAATGATTTGTTGAAAAAAGAGTAATTCTAAAAGAGTTCTAAAACACCGTTGACAATATTTTTTCCCTGGATATGGTTATTATAACTAAAGACAATACCCTGTCTATGTTCTCTCTCTGTGTAAGAGAGACCCGTGAAGATTCCGGGTCAGCATTTAGGAAAGGATTTCAGCTGCGAGCGTTAATATTATTAGTAAATGGACCATTTAATAGCTGATAGTCTTAACTGACTAGCAAAAGAAAGTAATCGGAATTCTCCGACATTACAATACAAACAATTTTATTGTATAAGTCATTCGTTGATGTAAATACATCTTGAGAAAGAATCCGATATTGTACAATCAAATTTCGGAGGGGTCAGAAAGAGACTCCATTTTCAATATCATTGGACCCGTGAAGATTCCGGGGTAGGATAGGTCTTCAGCAACCCATGCTTGCCGTAAAAGATGACTATGCCTGTCGTACAAGGCGACTAACGGGGTCGGGTGGTCAGGCTCGCTGACTTGGTTGATGCATGTCATCGATCTCAATTGCGCGGATCGATGCTCATGATATTAATCACTGGATTGCCTGGTCCTGACTCGATTATTTACAGACCGCCGTCATATAGCTGGAATATTGCTGAGTGCGGCGTTAAATAACAAATCAACCAACCAAATCAATATCAGTACGTTACCACAAATGTGAAGATTAAAAAATGTTCATGAAAACAGCAGCACACTACTTCTATATCTTGAATGACCTCAATTGGCAGCACTTCTGGCAACAACTCGTCGTCTCATCAATGATGGCAGTCTGTTCCAGCTCAGGCGACGTATTTGGGTGTTGTTCATTCCAAGTGTGATATAAGTGATCCCGATGGTGTCTTATGGGTGATAGGTCCGGGGTACGAGACGCCCAAAGAAAAAAAGCAATGATAATTCAGGTCAGAAAGTCAGGGGTCTGGCGTTGTCCTGTTTGAGGAGAACACACTGGGACAGGTGACTAAAGAATGGACCCGCAACAGGGCGAAAAGGTTGCCTCGTATGATGGATAACAAGACGTGTGCTTCTATCGCCATTGATCCCTCCCCGAACCATAATACATGTACCTCTTCCACCAAATGGATGGACTTCCTGGATGCAGTTTGATGCAAATCTGTCGCCTCTACGTCCATAACTCGCCCTCGATGGGACAAGTTGAGCTGACTTTCGTTTATCAACAGTACCAAGTGTCAATCACGCCGTTGCCAACGCCGTACTGTGTGGTCCAACGAACTGTTCTGTCGATGATGACGGGTGAAGGAATGGTCGGTTAGGTCGAATGTCTGCTGCCCGACGACCTAACTCTGACATAACGTCATGACCGATGACGTCACTGTCAGGAACCGGTTGCGCAGATGTAATGTACGCAGATAGCGGTTCTCACACGGGGTTATGACGCATGGTATGCCTAGTGTGTCCTGTCTGGTTGTACCTCTGGAGAAGTCGAGCTACTGTTATCCAGTTGTAAACTAAGAGTTGTGCATTATGGACTTGCGTCATGCGTTATGTCTTGTTTGTTTGTTTGTTTGTTTGTTTGTTGTTTAACGCCGCACTCGGCAATATTCCATCTATATGACGGCGGTCTGTAAAATAATCGAGTCTGGGCCAGACAATCCAGTGATCGACATCATGAGCATCGATCCACGCAATTTGGATCGATGGTATGCATCAACCAAGTCAGCGAGCCTGACCACCCGATCCCGTTTGTCGCCTTTTACGACAAGCAAAGTCGATTTTTCCGGCAAGCATGGGTTGCTGAAGACCTACAAGGTGCTCTGCATTAAGCCGAAAGGGAATGGGTTGTATTTAAAAATATAAAGTTAACAAAAATGTACAAAAATGTACAAAAATGCCTCTTGCTGACATCTGTCAATTGTGGTGAAAGCCGAAAAATAAAAAGGCGTCAAGAACACATTTGTTCTTCTGCTGGTTACTTAACTTTACACAGAATAAAGAAATGCAGTCATGCAGATCCAGGTTACATGATATAATGATTGCAGACATGCGTTATACCCAGGACATTCGGCGCGAGAGCTCACTCACAGTGTTTCCTAACACGTTCTCACCAAAATCGTAAGCCCTAGTTGTGAATCTTGACATGGTATTGGACCTCTATGTCATTCCTTCTTTACGATATACACTCACTATCTCACATTTGCTCTCACTGTAAAATCATCTCTTCCGAAACCACTAGACTAATGAAGCTGGAACGTCATGTGCATGTTCTCACCACATCTTAATTAGTCAAAAGGTTCAAAACCGATTGTATTATGGCAGTAGCAGACATATTCATTCCCATTAGCCAGCGATGTATGCATAGAATGTGATTAAATTTTGTTAATGGGTAGTTGGTAGTTCAAATATATGTTCCATTTTTAACACACACACACACACAAAATGACTTAGCCTTGATGATGCAGATAAATTCTTTCAAAATAGATTTGTTTGTTTGTTGTTTAACGCCGCACTCAGCAATATTCCAGCTAAATGACGGCGGTCTGTAAAATAATCGAGTCTTGACCAGAAATTCCAGTGATTGACGTCATGCACATCGCTCCACGCAATTGGGATCGTTGACATGCATCAACCAAGTCAGCGAGACTGACCACCCGTTAGTCGCCTCTTATGACAAACATGGGTTGCTGAAGATCTATTCTATCCCGGATCTTCACGGCGTTCCGTCATGCGTGAAGACAACTGTTTCAAGATAATTCCAAGTAAATATAAATGAGTTACCAACAAATATTAAGAAACAAGGTTTGTTTTTAGAGTGGAAGAGGAAAGTATAATATTGCAATGTTAGACTTGCCTTTAAATAAGTAAATCTTCGTAGAAAGAACAGATACGACAACCACCGTCATATAGCTGGAATATTGCTGAGTGCGGCGAAAAACAACAAAACAAACCAAAACAGATACGAGAATACTTCGATCAATACCATACATACCTGGACAACTCGGGAGATGACAACTTTTGGGGGTAATTTCAACTAGATTCTCAGGGCAGTTATTCCCACCGTGCGCTGGGGCCGGGTTGGTGCAGGTTCGAGTTCGGGACTCGGTGTATGTGGCAAACTGTCCACAAGTTACTGAACAAGCTGCCACAGTCCATAAGCCCCAAGCGCTCACACCCCCGTCCACTAAATTAACATTTGGAAAACAAAATCCTTATTCAACCCATTCTGATAAAATTAATGTAATTATTGACACGTCACACGACCGGTGACACGTCAAAAACACAAACTCAAGATTTGACCTGAACAAACACGGAAACATATAGCACAGGACAAAGTAACATTGGATATTAGTCTGGTCACTGATACCTTTAGAAATGTCCTCCATATGTCTACACTACAACTTTTGAAAGCTGTTCTATGACGTGGAATGCTGTGAACCAGATCAAATAACCTATGGGCAATAATATTTTAAAAGCTTTATTGAAAGAGCATGCAACAATTGTATCTCAACTGTTTAAACATGTGAACACCAAAGGTAGGACCTGTTCGAATAGTGTTTGACATTACAGGGAAATGGCTATGGGAAAGCTGAAGTCACCCCTTTTGTCGTATAGCCTTGAGGATAGTTTTGGCACTCAGAATGTTTATGCACAGATCTACATATGGACGGGAGGTTTCACAATTTCTTTTATTAAACCATTGTCAAATAATTCCAAACGTGTCTGCTATATATACAGTACAGTAAAAAGTGAATTATCGCCAGTGTCATTAGAGTAGGGATGTATCATGAGCCTGATAATATTGTTCTTAAAATTCATTTAGTTAAAAAACTAAGATCCCACAAACCTGGACAGTCAATGAGATTACAGGTATCACTTTTAGTATCGCTGAGTGTCTCTGTACAGGAAGCGCCGCCGTTCGCTGGGGAGGGATTGGTGCAAGTTCGAGTCCGAGTCGACATGCCAGGAGAAGGATTGCCACATGTTCCTGAGCAGGACTTTGAGCCCCATGAGCCCCATGCACTAACACCACCGTCGACTGAAGAACAATCACATCGTCGGTGAATTTAATAAAACATTTATTTGTGGCACATTGAAGTTAAGGATGAGAGGAATGGGATGGTTTGTTGGGCGTTTTCCGGCATCGATGTGATCAAGAATATGTAACCCAGTGATATTAACACATCCAGTGTCCATACTGGCACCAAATTCATCGATCCGCCTTGTAGAAGTATTTGCTCTCTAAGACAGATAACTTGACATGATAATACCAAAGCCCATGTGTGCTTCTTTATTTGGTTCACATTATAATAATAATCTTCATAACAAATCTGACGTGTTTGACTTCTAAAGATCGGTTCAAGTGATTGAATATCATTGTTGTCCGCTTTTGACCTTTGCACTTGCACAACATAATTAAAATTCAAAGAGAAGGTAATTAGAAAATGAAACCTTACACGATAGACATTTGACCATTATTAACTACCTGGTGGGCAAGATGAATACATGTTGAATCCAGTTTCTGTAGTGTAGAGAGATGTGGCTGGTGTGGTGTAGGCCACACATTCCCCTGTACTCTGGCTATACCCAAAGGACTTGATGGTGGGGAACAAGGCACATCGAACTGCACACTGTGTTAGACTGGTGAAGGTAGTATTCGTCCACATCACTCCTCCCGTAACTCTCTTGTTTTCAAATCCGACTAGAGGTGTTATGTTACATGTTCCACATAGACCAAGCGTTCTGCACCAAAGGTTAGAAAATAAAAAAATACCCGATAATAATGTCAAATTGTCCATGACTAGAAATGGTTTCATTCAATTCCTAGCTGAGAAAAAGACGTGTTGATCATACCTTAAAGCCGTTAGCATCTGCGATCATTTCATTTTATTTTATAGGTACACATGGGACGGAAATTGGAAAAGGTTCTGTCACAAAACCATTTAAGACCTCCTCCATACTACCCTGTAACTATATGTGATCTATACGGGTTGGACTCAACCATTTCTAGATCAATGATGAACGTCGAATGAGGGCCTCGTCTTCTTCAAACAATAAAATCTACTTATAGATAAATCAGATATGTGATTATTGTCCGACAAGATATCAATATGAGGTTCAATTGTTCGCAATCAAATTCATACGTACAACTTGACTGGAAGACGGAGCCAATCAGCACTCTTATATATCAATTACCAGTACAAGTGAACACAATTATCAGTACAATATATCTACAGATTTACCAGTACAAATTGTACAAAATTACCCGTAACGGAGTACACAATTACCTGTACCCTTTGTACACAGTTACCATTACCAGGTGCACACAATTACAGGTAACCGCATGCACAATTACCTGTACCAGGTGCACACAATTACCAGTATAGGTGTACACTATTACCAGTACAAGATGTACAAAATTACCCGTAACGGTGCACAGAATTACAAGTACCAGGTGTACACAATTACCAGTACAATATTACATATTACCCTTCAGTAACATACCCGTAATGACTGAACGCACCCCTTGTCCTAATAATGTGCCACTGAATATGACATAAAGAAAGGGTTCGTTTTTAACAAAGCACCTTCATACTCTTTGGTAACGACCCATTGTGATTCCGGGTAAACTTACAGGTCCCCAGCAACTTTTGCTTGTCGAAGGCGGGTTAAACGGACTGTGTTGTCAGGCTCGATTATTTACAGATTGACTTCATATAACTGAGTACTCTTTCGTGCAAATGTATGTTGATATCAACACGAAAGACCTCTGTATTTTAAGACCATGTGAAGATTAGTAAGTAGAGACTAATATTATTAATTATCATACAGTGCCTTCATCTTGATTCTGAAACGAATTTAGACCTCTTCAAGAATCACGAGGCTGGGGCTAAGGGAAGGGGCCATGTACATGATATTGACTGATGTGAAATACTTTTGGTGCTATGATCCTGACTTAATGGCCAAAAGTAGACATCGACCCCTGTCCCTGTGCAAGAACACTCGTCTTCTTATCAGACGTTTATGTATGTCAGAAATAGAGGCATGTCACTCTGACCTTAAACTGGTCCTGTTACATTCCTCTGCATTCAACTGGCCCTAAATTCACTTTATTATTTTTAAAGACTCATTGTGTAACTCGTTTAAAAGAGACGTCCCGTGATCTAGTGTATAGAGCGTCTGCCTGGAGAGTGTAAGGCTGGTGGTTTGATCCTCGGCCTGGTCATACAAACATTATTTAAATGATTGTACTTGCTGGTACCCTGCCTGGCACTCGGCATTAAGGGAATAAACAAAAACTGACCGGTTACTATTCAGTATACTGTGTCTGAGTTAAACATGGTATCTCAGTGGGATGCACTATAAAACCGGCATTAGTCCGGACTATTACAGGCGGCTATACACAGACAAGCACATATTCACGTATCCGCACGCAAACACATGCCCGTCGCTATAGAAGTACAATAATCTTTCACGTTAAACCCCATTTTAGCTGATTACCTCACAGTTTACAGGAACCCTTATCTACTGCGTAAATCTATCATATTGATGAGAATGCGAGTGGCAGACCGACATGTCTTTAAAATACTGAAGACAACATATATCTTAAGATAACATCTTGTTGTTAGTTGGCTTTATCAACCCTCTTGAACAATATTTTTGTTACACCACATCTTCCAAAAGATTGACATGTTTCTATATGTTATTAGATATATATGTAAGTGGAATTTAGTAATAGTATTGGTTAAATTGATTTCTATTTCTTTCTTGCAGTGTCTCGTAAGTACGGCACATAAATAAGTGAGTCTAGACAAGGAAAGGCATTGACTCATATTATCAACAACGTCAAATGTCGTTGGAGTAGTTTGACACACAAATAACCATGTTGTCGAGCTATTCTTCACAGCTATTCAAGCCTTAGATCCAACAGCGATTACCTTTTGCATGATGTTGTGTATTTATTTCAGTGGACTGTAACCACGAACGTCCATGTTTTCCTGGGCAATGCACAGGTAACGGCGCCACCGTTGTCTGCAACTGCATGGACGACTTCACTGGATCATTTTGCAAGGAGTGTAAGTAAGGATGACTCCAAAGGATCGTGTGTACATAATGTCGACAAATGTCCTGAACAAACTTCACAATAAACATTTCCATAATATCTGTCTGGTATTCATGACCAATGACAAATGATACTAAATTTCATGTTGTCCATGTCTCCTCTTATAATTAGGGTCGTCTATGTACATGCTCGGAGGGCTTTTCTTTATTACATGTGACACACTGCATTAGTTATCACAATTTGATTACAGTGATGTATAATTTTAATTTATATACAGACACCTAAGGTGACACAACTACAGGCCAGCTTTTCCTACCACAAGGGACAGGAGGAAATCTATGGCGTCATAGCGGACAGTTCAGGGAAGCCAGAACACGCCACCATCTGGACAAACCTAGACAAGCTGAATAACCTTACTGTGACTGCAAGTGCGATGTCCGAATGTAGAGATCTTCCAGCACCCCCTACTTACATCAGGGAATCACGCCTTGGAATTGCCAGAGCCTATGTTAGATTGTGTGAGCAATGACATGGATGTCCACTTCCATGAAACTTCAAGTCGCACTTCTTGTATAAAAACACCAGTGCTATGCACAAAGTAAAGACCTTTAGTTCAGTTGGAGCTTTGCTGACTGTCAGATCTATGTCTCTATGATATAACGTTGTAAACTCGTGTCCCTAATAACTCCATCCAAAGACTAGACTTACTTGCTGAAAGTGTAGGAATGAAAAACTATGGATAATTATGATATCAGATGAAAAGAAATACTCTTCGTTTGTATTATTTAACTACAATTTAACTCCTTAAGTTTGCGTTGGCGTTCTATGTCCCACTCCGTCAAAAATGGAACACATCTTCAACTACACTAAATGTCTAAAATGTCTAAAGTGTTTGTAATAGGAAAATATGTAGTAAAGTAAAGTTTAGTGTTAATATTCCTTTGTTTGCATGTTGCATGGACAGTGTTACT